CTCAAGCTTAGGCCGAAGCCTCAGGCTTATTCTTAACCTGCAAGGTAAAGAGCAAGCTTATGCTTTGGGCTTAGCTATCTAGCTAATGCTCAAGCCTAATCCCCAGCAATCCTTCAAAAGTCCGATGGAGCGCATTCCCCGAATCACTTCTCCTCTGTTTGTTGAGATTTACCCAGATCACATGATGACCCAACCGATGCGATGAATGATCGGGTGGCTGGCCGATTTTTCTAGGTCATGCGCGCAAGGCGATAGAGATGCGTTGATTTGATAACGAGAGAATTTTTCTCGTTATATGGACATATTACTACTGGGTGTGGAGAAAATTGGAAACGAAGAAGAACAAGAAAAGGGGAATAGTTGATGATCAAGATGATGATGATGATACGGTACAGGGGGAAGAATTGGAGTGATTGATAAATTGATTTGGTGATACGCGGTGACAGATTGGTGATACGCGGTGACTATCTGTGTTAGACGGAAGTATAATATAAGAAAAGATATTTGTGATACATAGTTTTTTTGTTTAGGGAACTACAAAGCTTCAGGTGTCATCTGGGTGGGGATGAGACGAGAAACGAGGAGAAGATATACATTTTTAAAGTGCCTACAAAATTGCTTCGAAGCTTTTCAAATTTTTTGAAATTTTCAGAGATTATTAAACAAATCTAGAACTTCATTTTTATAGTTGACAACTTTTTTGTGCAAATGCGCCCTAACGAGATACGTCTTCTTTTCCTAGCAGTAACCGCCGTAGCGGTGTGTCTGATAGCTGCACACTCCCACGTGACTTATCTCGTTAGGGCGCGTTTGCATAAAAAAGGTGCCAACTACAAAAATGAAGCTCTAGTTTTGCTTAGTATATTCTGAAAATTTCAGATAAATCGAACAGCGGTCTGAGGAGATATGCTACTTGGAAGTGGCGGACCGCTGGCTAGGTCCGCCGCTTCTTTGCGCCACATCTCATTAGAGCGCGCTTGCACAAAAAAGTTGTCTGCTGCAAAAATGAAGCTCTGTTTTTGTTTTGTATGCTCTGAAATTTTCAGACAAATATAACAGCGGTCTGAGGAGTTATGCTACGTGGAAGGGGCAAACCGCGCCGTCGCCGGTTGTCATAGGTGCAATGCTTCTTTTGCTCCGTATCTCGTTAGAGCGCGTTTGCCCAAAAAAAGCTGTCAACTACAAAAATGAAGCTCTAGTTTTGCTTAGTATGTTCTGAAAAGTTCAGGCGAATCCACCAGCGGTTTGAGGAGATATGCCACGTGGAAAGGGCGGACCTCTCCGCCGTCGGCTACCTTTGTCGGATGTGCGATGCTTCTTTGCGCCATATCTCGTTGGAGCGCGTTTGCACAAAAAAGTTGCCAACTACAAAAAAGAAGCTCTAGTTTTGTTTAATAATCTCTGAAATTTTCAGATAAATCTACAAGGTGCAAAATATTTTTTTCGGGAAAATCAAAATGTTTGGTTAAATTTGAACATTCGATTTTTAAAACCAATATATTGAAGGGATCAATTCGGATTATCAATTTACACACCTATTACATAATTTGTGACACTTTTTTAGAACATATTCCTTCTTTTTTTTTCGAAATTTGCCTGTCTAGCCCTGCGAGATTACATGCGTATTCATCACGCAACATGCCTGAAGGCCGTCTCTATGTTTTCATTTGGATTTTTTGCCTAACTGTGTAGCTGTCTAGATAAAATATCTGGCAACAAAAAAATTAGCAAAAATTATATTAGTTTGTGAGAACAATAAGAATTTTTGACAAAAATTCTAAAAAAAATTTTTTTTGAAGTTTTTAGGAATTTTCATAAACAAAAAATTAGCTTAGCAGTAGTTCGATTTGTACCAAACTTTTAGAGTTTACTAAACAAAACTAGAGCTTCAATTTTGTAGTTGACAAGTTTTTTATAACTCTCCTGGTTTTTGAGATATGTGCCTTTAAAGTTGGCGCGCGCACCTAGTCAGGCGCAGACAGCTAGCGAGTCATCTTTAAAGGCGCATATCTCCAAAACCCAAAAAGTTACAAAAAACTTGTCAACTACAAAAATGAAGCTCTAGTTTTGTTTAATATACTTGAAAAGTTTCAAGCTGCCTTGAAAAGTTTAAAGTGCATTTGTAGTTTCTCACCTACACCAACTTAATTCCAGAGTCATTTTTCAGATCTTAATTATCTTGATTTCTGTTATAGTTATTTAAAAATTGTTAACTGAAAAATTGTAGCTCGTAACATTTTACACACTTTATTAGTTGACAACGTTTCTGTATCTTTATTGAGAGCCGAGATAATTAGGATCGAAATTGATGGCTGGAAAATCCTTGTTTTTCTCTGCGTCTCCCTCTCTTTCAGATTTTTTCAAATTTCCCGCGCAAAATTTTGGAAATTCCCAGAAATTCAAAATTGATTTATAAATGTCTCATTCTTGTCTGCCCGTTTGACAAAAAGAACAAATGGGTTTCGACTAGACAGTAATGGTTTTTCTTTCTCTTTCTCTCTATCTTTTTCTCTGCGTCTCTTACAGATTCTTTGTTCTCTAGCTATTGAGCGACACCTTACCCAAATGAAAAATTTACAAATTTCCATGCTAAAACTTTTTGGTTCTGTACTTATTGTGGTTTGGAAGATGATTGAAGGAAATGAAATGGTTACGGTGGCCTATAAATTCGGGAAATGCAATTTCTAGGCCACTGGAAACTTTTAGGCCAGCTGCAAATCTGTGAATTTTGTGGGAAATTCGAAAATGGATTCTGAAAAATGTCAATAAAATCGAAATTTAAGAATATTAAAAATCCGAAAATTCGAAATTTTGAAATTTCCAAAAATTTGAAAGTCCAGAATCCTGACATCTAAAGTTCTAAAACTCTGAAAATTCTGAAATTAAAAAAAAGGGATTTCAAAAATTCGAACTTTGAAATTTTTCAAAAATTTGAAATTCCAAAACTCTGAAATTTGAAAAATTAGGAGTTTTAATAATCCAATTTTTTTTGTTAAAAATTGAAATTTCTAAATTCTGAATTTCGAAATTTCAGAATTTTCGAAATCAAAAATTTTGAAAAAGTTTGTAATTTCGAAATTCTGAAAATGTCAAAATCAAAATTCGAAATTTCGGAAATTCGAAATTTTCTTAATTTCCAGAAATCAAAATTTGAAAATTTTTAATTTCAGAAATTCGTTTTCGAAATTTCAGAGTTTCAGAAATTCCAGATATCAAAATTCATAAATTCGAAAAAATGCGAAATTCTGAAATTCGAAATTTCAACCAATTCTGAAATTTAAAAAAGTTGAAACTCAGAAATTCTGAAATTTGAGATTCCAAAATTCTGGAATTTACTAATTTTAAAAATCCAAGAACCAAATTTTAGAACATCTGAAATTCCAAAATTATGAAATTTTTAGTTTTAAAAATCTTTTTTTTATACCACAATTTGTGTCGGAACACTTGAAAATGGATTCTGAAAAATGTCAATAAAATCAAAAGTTAAAATTTCGAAATCTCCAAAAATTCGAAATTTTGAAATTTCAAAAAAACATTTGAAAGTTCTGAAATCTAAAATTCTAATACTCTGAAAATTCGAAATTTGAGAACTTTAAAAATCCAAAAAATCGAAATTTAAAAAACTCGAAATTTTCAAATTTCAAAAAAATTCGAAAGTGCAGAATCTTGAAATCTAGAATTCCCAAGTTTGAAAAATTCGAAATTTACGAATTTAAAAAATCCAAAAAATTCGAAATTTAAAAAAATTTCCAGAATCCAAATATTCGAAAATTTTCAAAAAAAAAATTGAAAGTTGAAATTTAAGAATTTTAAAAATCCAAAAAATCGAAATTTAAAAAATTTGGAATTCTGAAACTCTTTGAAATTACAAAACTCTGAAATTCGAAATTTCAATCAATTTGAAATTCAAAAATCTGAAATTCGAAATTTTAAGCTAATTTTTAACAATTTAAAAAAATTTTGTTTTTTTTTTAGTTTTCATTTCTTTAAGTTCTGAAAAAATTGACTTCCTTTTCGACCCACTTATCTGAAAATCTGAAAATCCAAAAAAAAAAAAAAAATTTTCAAAAAAAACCTTTTTTATTCATCATTACATTTCATCATCTCTTTTCATCAATGTTAAAATTTTCAAATTTTTTCCAACAATTTTCAAAATTTCGAAAAAGACAAAGAGCACACAGGAGATGGGAGGAAGAAAGCATGCAATTAAAACAATATTTTTATATATTAAATTTGGCTCTATTTCTTTTTCCGAGAGGAAAAGGGGCGGGGCTATTTTTAGGGAGGGGGCGGGGCTTACACAAAATGGAGCCAGAAAAAAACAGGAGGGTGCAGTGTGTGGAGACAACAATTGACACCGGAAAATTTTCAAAAAATTTGTTTTTGAAAAAAACAATTTTTAGAGTCAAAAAAAGTTTTTTGTCGATAATTTTTTTAGACCCAAAAATTGGTTTTTTTTTCAAAAAAAGTGCAATATATATAACTTTTCCAAAAAAGAGGAGGCGGGAAGAGGCAGAATGGTTGTATAAAAGGGGTGTTTTTGAGTGTAGAACGGTTGTATAAAGGGGTACTTGAGAGGAGTGTGATGAGGGGGGCGGGGACAAAAAGTGGGCGGAGTCAAAAAATCCCGAAAAAAAGAGCTTTTTTAGAAAAAGCTCTTTTCAAAATGGAAATTTGATCCTAGAGAAAAATGGGGCTCATAGAAAAAAGGCATGGGGGCGGGGCGAAAGGGAAAAACCATTAAAATGGTGACGAGAAAACTTGCATAACTGTATGACGAACAAGAATAATTAAAAGGGGGCGGAGCCAAAAAGATAAAACAAGAGCCGGGGATTCGGGGGAGAATACATATATAGTTTTTGCGCCCTTTTCTTTTGGGGGCCAGTGACTAGAGGGACAAAAAGACAGGGAGAGAGAAACAATGGATCAAAGGATCCGACACAAAATTTGGGTATTCAAGAAGTTGGAGGGATGGGAGTCAAGGGGAAAAGGGGGCGTGTCTAGAAGACACGAATGCAATTGTTGCCAAAGTCGACAACGTAGATTCGGCCGTCCGGGCCGACCGCCAGGTCGGTCGGGCGGTCCAGGAGTTGGCGTGGCGATGGGGTGAGCGGTGTGGGTGTCGAGGAGAAGGCCGGTGCGCCGAATGGTCCAGACAGGGACTGAAAAAAAGGGGGCGGAGTTTGATTAGAGGGAAAGTGGGCGTGGCCTAGGAATCCAATTTTTGGGATTTNTAGGCCACCAAGAATTCTTGACAAGATATCAGGAAGCACTAACTATAGACATACGTGGCCTAGAATCCCAAATCAGGAAAAAGGGGAGGAGTCAGATTGAGAAAAGTGGGCAGGGCCTAGAATTCTAGTTGATC